TTGCCTCCCCCTTCCCAGCCCACATCAAATAAAAGAGCCCCCTCACCTGCTTGCCGTTATGCAGGGAGTAGGCACAAATCTGATCCCTCATGATTAAGTCAGGTACAGACCGGGATCGCGTACCTGACTATGAGAGCAGCAGCTCCTTGCTGTCCTGTCCTTGGCTCCGTTCCTTTTCGGCCGGAGCTCTGCAGTTCTGAGCTCCGTTCTCTGCAGTAAGGTCTGCAGACCTTACTAATCCATCCTTGCGAACGGGGCTCAGAACTGTCAGAGCTCCGGTGATCGATCGAAAGTAACGGAGCCAGGACAGGACGGCAAGAAGCGGCTGCTCTCATAGTCAGGTACGCGATCCGTGACCGCGTGCCTGACTGAATTTCCACTCGCCCTCTCTTTATTTCCACTCGCCAAATGCGAGCTGGCGAGTGGAAATTTTGAGCCCTGCATTAGTTTATCAAATAAGAGTGTGCCCTTTGAAGCAGACTCTTATGCTCCTCACCCACTTCTTCCAATTGCCCTCCTACCCCACCCTTCCCTCAAAATTGGGAATTTAAAAATCTTTTCCTGCAGGAGCACGTGTTGTAGACCACCTCAAAGCCTCCTGGGATTTGTGACATCAGTATCCCAGGTGGCTTTGTGATGTGCTATGGAGTATGCAACAATGTGCATCATCAAGCAGCCAGCTGCCTCTTGCTGGTTTTTGCAGCCGCATCCCTGATGATGTGTCGAAGCGTATGCACATCATCAAGGGGCAGGCTACAAGAACCCAGGAGAGACAGCCGGCCCCTTGATGACGTAACGTAGAAAATGGCACTGCGGAACCCAGCATACGGTGGCAGACACAGAAGCAGTAGGAAGACACTTAGTTTGCTGGATGTTGGAGTATGTAATCTATATTTATATAACGGGGTGGAGGAATGGGGTAGAGCATTGCACCCGCAATCGGTGCATTATAGGTGTACAGGCTCTTCCACTGTTTACTCCCAGCACCAGGTCTGAACAGAGGTATGCACCTTCTGTTATGGGGCTGAAGGAAGTGCAGCTGGACCACAATTGCTGTGATGTCACCACCCTGCTGCTGGCATGCTCTGCTGAGTCCCTCTGCCAAGATTGCAGATGGAACATGTAACTTCCATTCAGTGTTCTTGGACCTTGATGATGTGGCTGTGCCGGCTTTCTGACATCATCATGTACAATGCAGGACCAGTAGTTCTGTGTTATATGCAAGAAAGATGAAAGCCCACCTACAACTCAGCCAGAGAGAAGGAGAGGGTGTCAGCAGCCAGGAGAGTGAGATATAAAGTATGTATTACAGCGTATTCATAATTCCCTTGACTTAATGACGTTTAACCCTTGCAGTGTGTGTGGAGGGAGGGTCCTTTTAATAAAAAAAAACAACCCACCAGCAATTAGCTTTAAGTAAAAGGCACATAGAAATACAACATACCATTTTCTTCTTTTCAAATTCAGCTACATGATTGATGGCAACAGCAGAGTAGCCAACTACATGAGGAATAGATAAAAACATAACATTACTCTGTTTGGAAATACAGTCAATAATCTTAATTAGAAAACAATAACTTGAAGTGCTTCCTGCAGGTAACACAGCAGAAAGTTTGAGAAGCTAACAGGGCAGTCTATGGGGTACAAACCACCAAACAGAAAATCTGGGGGTATCAAATTAAACAAAGACTATGTTCTGTGTTGGGAATATCTGTTGACAGTTAATTGCCCTCACAGCATAACAAATATTTTTGACGGCATACAGCATTCAGATATTTTTTCTTACATCTACCTTTCTTCTGAGGGCAGCAGGAACCTGTATGCATCATATCATCATGTATAAATAATACTACTATCACTACTCTAAATATAATATGAATAAATTAGGAATTATGAATGGAGCCTTAGGAACATGTCTTTCGAGCCTCCACAATAAAAAATAAAATACATGAAAAGCAGCTCCCATATTTTGGTCCACATGTGCTGATTTAAAGTGCACCTGTCATGACAGAATTATATAAGCTACCATTGCAGAGCTCTCTTTTTCACTGGCTTTAATGCTGATCTAACTGCTTCAATAGCAACTGATTCGAACAAGTATATAAGGAATTATAATATTCATTTGGACTTATTTGGAGCATGCTTGCTTCGAGGCTATCATTTAGATGTACTGAAGCCAGACACAGCCATGTGCTCTCAGGAAGTCAGCAATGGCAGCCTCCATACTTCTCACAAGGGAGCATACAAAATCAGAACAAGATATAATGTGGCATCTGTTATGGCTTTGAAAAGAGAGGAAATAAAAAAAAAAAAAAGAAAAAAAGGTTGTGTAGAAAAAAACCTTACTTCTTTTGACTTGATAAAACAAAGTTTACTTATCCAATAAATCAATCTATGTCATGTGGTTAAAGCTATTTTTGTGAAAGGATTCCATCATTATTAATTATCCATATGCCCCTTATTTTAGTATACCCCTGTCCAGAGACCTAGGCAGATCTAAACATTGCCAAATTAAGCCATCAAAATACAATCATTAGAGCTCATACTTATCTCCAGGTGCTTCCTGCACACCAAAACATACAACAAAAAGAAAAACACCAAGGCAAGTTTATAATCTGTTGCCTACATGTTGCAATCTGATTCTGCAATTCACTTTAGATTTACCAAAAACTACAGAACGTGAGAGCCTACCTAAAGCTGGCCATACGCCTATAGATTATCTGCAGGTTTTCTATGGTCAGATGGAAAAAGTGCAACAGATTCCTACATCTACGCTAAACTGTGTGGATGGAGGAATCTCCCGCTGGGCCAAGCTTCAGTATCTTGCTAGTCGGCTCCGCTGGCTCTCAAAATACCTGAACAATGCCTGCATCCAATCAGATTGTTCAGGTATTTCGACAGCCAGTGGGGCCGACTAGCAAGATACTGAAGCTTGGCCCAGTGGGAGATTCCTCCATCCACACAGTTTAGCGTAGATGTAGGAATCTGTTGCACTTTTTCCATCTGCCCATAGAAAATCTGCAGATAATCTATAGGTGTATGGGCAGCTTAAGTAATTCCATCAATTTGTATCCAATCAGTAAGATCTTTGCACCACATAGTTGTCATGAGACCTAAAGCAGATTGTAACCTGTACGGGCATCTTAAAAGATATACTTCAGATTGTAAGGTGTGTGTCAAATTTAAACATGGTGAACTGTGATACTTACGATGTGCTGCCATCTCAATAACACTTTGTAGCCTCTTGACATCTGAGCAGTTCATAATATTGAGATCCACAAACGTGGCCATTCTGAAATGAGGAATATCTATGCAAAACAAAACATCGAACATGTTTATTTGATTTGCACACGGATGTACTGCACAGCACCGACAATAACAGAGCATAGAAATATAACAGAAAGGTTATTATAGTAACTCCACCAAGACAATCAGAAAAATGATTGCACCCAAAAAGGATCACTTGGTTGTCCTTATGATGAAGGAAATGTGCACATGCACAGTCACAACTGCTACTGTCTGACCTCTGTTGTCAGTCCTGGTTTTAGAGCTGCAGCTAACGATTATTTTCAAAATCGATTAGTTAGCCGATTATTAAGTTCGATTAATCGGTTAATCGGATAAACAATAAAATTAATTTTTTTAAGTGGCTCCAGTGATGGACTACTAGTTTGTATTGAGATTGCACTCCATCACAGGAGCAAGCTTGGAGCGGTGGAGGTAAAAAAAGAAAAAAAAAAAGTGTGGTGTACAATATAGTGAAAAGGAAAGTGTAAAATTATACAGCAATGAATGCAGAATGGCACCGGCTATAGAGGACTACAAATCCCAGCAATAGTACATTATACAGCGCAGTGCAGAATATCACCAGCTATAGAGGAATACAACAAATCCCAGCAATAGTACATTATAGCTGGTGGTATTCCGCATGGCGCTGTATAATGTATTATTGCTGGGATTTGTTGTCCTCTATACAGCGCAGTGCAGAATATCACCAGCTATTTAGGAATACAACAAATCCCATGTATTGCTGGGATTTGTATTCCTCTATAGCTGATGGTACATTGCTCTGTATAATATACAGCACAATGTACCATCAGCTATAGAGGACTACAAATCCCACTATCCCAGCAATATATTATAGAGCACCATGTGGGGGGAAAGTGCAGGCTTACCTGAGCAGTCTTCCAGCAACTTGCTTCTGAGATCGGACCTGTCTATCGGCAGCTGTCATCCCCCCACACCTGCTCCTCCTTACTACATCTCCCCGCGTCCCTGTGCCGATCGTGGATGTGGGCAGGCGGTGAGTGTGAGGCGGGGAGGAGGTGCGGCGTGAAGAGCGTGGATGCGGGCGGGCGGGTCTGGCAGCGGCGAGCGTGAGGTGGGGAAGAGGTGCGGCGCGCAGCGTGTGTGGAGCCGTGAACAGGGCCAACTGATCGGAAGCCGATTAATCGATTATTGAAAAAGTTGACAACTTTTTCAATAATCGATTATAATCGATTATGTCGATTAGTTGTTGCAGCCCTACCTGGTTTGCTACAATGGGGGTGGTAATACACAGGAACCAGTAAGGTCAGCAAAGAATATGGATTGTTATGGGTAACTAGTCTGGTTTTCTTAAAGCCGCCACATTATGCTTGATGACATTACTAGGGAGATTGCTCATTGTCCTTTAAAATTAGTGATGGGCTCGGGCGTGTTCGCAGCTCCACGTGTCGAGCCCGCCAGGAAGCTGACAACGCCAATCACAGGTACTGAGACACTATGCCGGTCCACAGCTGCAGAGATCGGGATATGTCTCAGTGCCTGTAATTGGCTCTGTCAGCTTCCTGGCGGGCTCGGCACGTGGAGCTGCGAACACCCATCACTATTAAAATGTAAGAGATCCATGCAAGGCTACATGCAAACAGGCACCTGGTAACACTACAGAAACAAGCCAGCTTGTGTACATGGGCACCTCTCAGTAAAAGGGATTAAGACTTACTACTGTGTGTTCACTTCACTTGAGTGGAGACTCACTGTCAGAGACAATCCAGTTGTACTGAATGGGGAGTAATGCTACCGAGGGTCAGCCAGCCCACAGACACCTATCTTCAGAAAGCCATAGAGTCATGTATGGGTAGGTGGAGCTCCTGAAGCATCAAGACCATCTAAAAAGGAATAATCAATCACACTATAGGTATCAGATATGATCAATCGCACTAATAAGCATACAAAAGAGCAACACGTCCATATACAATCCTCTACCTGTTCAAAAATTTAAAAAACAAAAAAATGGCTGGAGTTTCACATTAATGTGCACCTTCCACGAAAAATCCAAAGTCAACTTAACTTGCCGCCTGAGAAGATACTCCACCACTGTGCAAGAGTGCATTCTTTTGGGATGTAGGACCCTCAGCTTTCCCAGGATCCCGCAGCTAGGGGGCCCATTGATCTCAACCTTTACCTAGGTGTGCACACCAGAAGCAGAGATGTGATGTCATGTATTTTTATTCTATTTGTTATTTAAGGGGCTGCAATGTTCAATTAAACAAAATAGTAGCACTGCTCCCCTCCAACCATTTCTTCTGGGAGAATACTAATCGATTTTGAAAATAATCGTTAGCTGCAGCTCTACACATGACTCTCTCTCTGTAGTGTTGTGACTAAGCTGCTAGTTTCCAGACCTGAGCACCTCAGGGGCACTGGGCACGCCCAGAAGGGTGCAAGATCAATTTCTGGCAAAAGTCAATTATTTTTTAAGGCCCTTTACAAGGACGGGGGGTGAAGTAAAGCAGTTGAGGGAGATCAGCATACAGCAGGAGTGTTTTTTTCCCCTCAGGTTTAATACACAACGAGATAATTAACTTCTGCTGAACGTGTTCACACCCAGAACACCACACAAAGTCTCCGGGACCTCTGGGTAAGTTCAGGCATGTAACATGCTGAGGATACAGGTTGTTTTCCTAGTGCCCTGCTTACACCACAATGCTGCCTTCAGATGGGTAAAAAAAAAAAATGCAGATTCATGTTTTATAGTTGTTCAAATGTACCATGTCCATAGAAATAAAGGCAATGCCATGTGTGGACATTTCAATACAGTTTAGAAAAAAATAAATAGTGCCTTGCATTGTACAAGTGTGGGCTGCTTTGAATTTTTTTTTTAACCACTTGAAGAGCGGGGTGTTAAACCCGCTTCCTGTCCAGGCCATTTTTCAGTGCTGCGGTACTGTGACATTTAGTTCAGTTTTTTTTTTTAACACATATATATATATATATATATATAAAAAGTACAGACATTTTTGAAGAAAAAAAAACCTGGTTTCCCTATGTTATAAAACATTAGCCATTTTTTGGGTAAAATATAAAAGACGGGGTCACATTGGGTAAATAGACAATACATGTTAAGCCTTCAAATTGAGTGCTAACAGTGTTTGGAGACACCAGGGGTCTATTAGACCCCTAATGTCACCTAGAGACTCCAAAGAAGCTGATAAAGAAGCAAGTGACAGCTTGAAACCATAAGTGATGTAATTTACATCACTTCTGCATTCAGTGATCGGAGGGGAGATCAGCCAATGCATTGTGATCTGCCCTCCGATCCACCCAAGGAGACCCACCATGGCAGTCCAAGACCCGCGGAGGATAGTCCGCAGTGGCCACCACACAATCGGGCGGCTCTATAGCTGCCCAAACAATTGTATATATCCAAGGCTTCAGTTTGTCAAACTTTCCTGCTCCCAATCACATGCAGTGGGAGAGGACCTTTATAAATGCTCACACGCCCTTACGCATCAGCCGTTTATTTACAATCGGCCAGAAGGCAAGTAGGGCAAGTAGTTAAATTAAGATTGTGAATCAATCAAAACTAGAGCAGTGGTCCCTAGTAACTAGTTTTCTTTTCAGTGCAACTTCTTTCACTCTCAAAGCCTATTGGTTGCCATGGGCAACTGCTCCAGTTTTGATAAATTCCCCACTTTGCATTGACCTGCATATGTGTGCATTGCAATAAAATGGAGCAAATCTGCTTCCCCAATGCACAACAAACCACTTATGTGACGTGAACAATTGTTATATTAGTGTCCTCGCCCAGTGTGAATGAGCCCTAATTATACAGCTGATGTTCACCACTTTGGTGTGCAGCTAGCCACAGGTAGTTCGATAACCTTTAGACACAGAGAGTCTTTCTGCAGTGGGACACCGAACCTACTTCCCCGGCTCCGCTCATTCTGCCTGTCCCCAGCTTCCTCCGACTACCCGCTGTCCCCATTTCTACTCAGCATGTTCTGAGCCCCGAACTGACTTGTACCTGGCGTACAGTGATTCCCATGTGCTAATAGCCGAGCCACGCTTCTCCCCGCCCACTTCTACAACCTGCCCTATCACCACTCAGACGTAGAAAACGGGGCTTCATAAAGACCCATAACTTTCCCTGGGTGCGCATGAAGAAGTATACTGTATCGCTAATAAGTTAACTAAGGGAAAGCTGCTTATGGCCAACTCATGAGGCGTAATTTACCGGAAGAGGTAGTGTAGCGTGCCGCTGCAGGAACACGTGACTGATCAGCTGTTTGAACTATGTGGATGAAAGTAATTATCGTGTTACCTGGGACACTGACATTTAAAGGGGACCCGTGTGTTTTTCTAGCATCCGGTCATGATTAAACTATGTGGATGAAAGTAATTATTGCGTTACCTGGGATGCTGACATTTAAAGGGGACCTGTGTGCTTTTCTAGCATTTGGTCATTGAACTCTGTGGATGAAAATAACCACCGTGTTACGTGGGATGCTAACATTTTAAGGGGACCTGTGTGCTTTTTCCAGCATCTGGCCATGTGAATGGAAGTTGCATTTTCTTAAAGAACTCCAGGATTTTTAAAAATTTACCCATGCAGTGTGACTACCCTCGCACTGCAAGGGTTAACTGCTCCTTTTTTTATTTTATCCAGGGGTTAAAATAAAGAAGATACACTCACCTGATCCTTCGCTCACCTCCCTTCCTCTCTGCTCTGGCATATCCCTTGGTGTCCTCACGTCTAATATAGATGATGACATCACAGGTCCTTAGACCGCCAGAGTCTGTGGATGAAGAGGCTGTGGGGACCGGTCTAACAGCCAGCCAGGACCGAGGATCAGGTAAGTATTTCTTCTTTATTTTAGCTCCCTACACAAAATGTAGTGCCATGGCAGCCCCACTGCAAGGGTTAACTATTCAAAATCCTGGAGTTCTGATTTATCTCCCCTGTACATGATTGGATGACTGCAGAGTCACAGATTCACTTTACTTTTCCCCAGTTCGTACTAAGGTGTACGTTTCAATAAACCGT